TTCGTTATCTCCAATGCACAAAAGATGCGAGTCTATTTTCTATAATAAATCCAAAACAAAGTTAATTGGTTTTGCATATACAATATTTATGTCAGATCCTCATAATGGTAAATCATAGATTGGATATTTTTTTATATATGGTGGTACAATAATCTCTTGGCGCTCCATGAAGCAAACGCTTGCATCAACTTCTTCTAATCATGCAAAAATCTTAGCAATCCATGAAGCTAGTCGTGAATGTGTATGGCTAAAATCTATGATTCAGCATATACGGAATAATTGTGGTTTATCATCTAGAAAAGAAGTTCCTACTGTCTTTTTTTAAGACAATATAGCATGCATTGAACAACTCAAGAGTGGGCACATCAATGGTAATGGAACAAAACACATTGTACCTAAATTCTTCTTCACTCATGACCTTCAGAAGCTTAAAGAGATAAAAGTTAACCAGATCAGTTCAAGTAAGAGTTAATTGGTTTTGCATATGCAATATTTACGTCATATCCTTATAATGGTAAATCATAGACTGGATATGTTTTTACATATGGTGGTACAACAATCTCTTGGTGCTCCATGAAGCAAATGATTGTAGCAACTTCTTCTAATCATACAAAAATCTTAGCAATCCATGAAGCTAGTCGTGAATGTGTATGACTAAGATCTATGATTCAGCATATACGGAATAATTATGGTTTATCATATGGAAAAGAAGTTTTTTTAGTGTCTTGTTTGAAGATAATATAGCATGCATTGAACAACTCAAGAGTGGGCATATCAAAGGTAATAGAACAAAACACATTGTACCTAAATTCTTCTTCACTTATGACCTTCAGAAGATTAAAGAGATAAAAGTTAATCAGATCAGTTCAAGTGAGAATTTGACAGATTTATTGACTAAGGAACTTTCTACATCTGTGCTTCAGAAGTTAGTACACTACATTGGAATGCGTCACCTTAGAGATCTCAAGTGATGTAGCCATTAGGGGGAGTAAATACGCGTTGTACTCTTTTTCCCTTAACCTTGGTTTTCCCCTCTGGGTTTCCAGGTAAGGTTTTTAATGAGGCAATATGTCAAGCGTATAATTATGTACTTTTTCTTTCACTAGGTTTTTGTCCCACTGGGTTTTTCCTAGAAAAGTTTTAATGAGTTACAATTAGATAATGGGCATCAAATGGGGAGTGTTATGAATATATTATGTGGATTTCATTAGTACTCTTATTAGTTAATGTGGCTTTTAGCATTCTTCAATAAATTAAGATGAAATGTCAAAGAACTTGACTCTTCACATATATTATAATTATTAGAGAGCATTCCTCATCCTTATATATATATATATATATATATGGGGTTCATGTACTCATCAAAATACGAAAAAATATAGATAAATCCATCTCTATTTTCTCTCGTATATATCTCCTTTATTTTAAAAGATCTTTCATAATTTCCTTTAAAGGATTATAAATATGGGTTAAGATATTCATTTGAAATCTTTTTGGGCATTAATTGTTCTAAATTATTTATGTACTATTTTCTTTAATATCATGGTATATCTTCTTAAATATACTACAACAAATTAATTATTTAAATAAAAATTATTTCGGAATAATTTTTGAAATGATATCTTTTGAATAAAAACGTATCATGTCAAACATATTTTCTAAAAGATGTTTTTAATTGAAAATATATGTATATGCATAAAAGAACAATTAGAGTTTTGATCACAAGTTGAATCAAAATAAAAGAAAATAATTGTATAAAAAATAAAAGAAAATAAAAAAGCCAAAAATATGAAAAATATTGTACAAATTATGTATGAAAAAAATACGAGTTATATGTATATAAATATTACATAAATCTAAAAATGATATTTATTTGAGATTCAATTCTTGGTAAGGTGGCATTTAGGTAAATATGAATAAATATTATTATTTTTAAAGTTGTCGTAGATCATTTAAAAAGTTATTATTTTTGTTAACAATCTATAGAGCATGTGGTTAAAAATAAAATTTTCTTTTCCCTCCCCTAAAATTGTTAAAAAAAATTGTTATTGTTTCTCCAAATTCGAACTCAAAACCCTAATATACATATAAGCGCCATTTACGTAGGAGCTTTAGAGCTTTCATGCAATCAAGAGCGTAAAGCTTTGGAAATCAAAGTCTAAAGCATTAGATTATAGTTATAGATGCGATTATCATTTACAGTGCTTTGGAACTCACAGACTCTGTTGCATGGAATTTTGATCAACTTGGAAAGGTAGATGAGTGGATCCAAATAATTTATTAATGGGTAAACTATCTGAATAGTCCCATTTATTTTCGGTCTAACTGACTTGAGTCACAAATTTAAAAATTAAAGAGAAATAATCTCTAATGTTATCGATCTGTTCGATTCTAGTCTCTCTTTCATTAATGTCCGTTAACCTATTAACAAAAATCTTACGTGGCACTTAAAATAATCATGTGCTTCTTTTTCTTTTTCTTCTTCTTCTTCTTCTCATTAAATCACCCACACGACCATTTCAATTACAAATCTAAGCAAAAACAAACCCATTAAAACAAAACCATACAAAACCACCCACTCGAATGTTTCACCACAGCGAAGTTATCTCTCATTTTATTGTTGTTGACTCCGTCTAATGTTAAAACTCCCATGTCGCAACTTTGGTTCTTGGCCCCTCTCCGACGAACATTGCTACAACTTTTTCGGTCAAAATGTCTCTGGTCATGCGGAATTCTGATGGGATCTGGTGCATTAGTGTTGATATGATCGCACCCGTCATGTCTTGCATCCTTAATTTATTTAAGGGTTTATCTCTGATATCGTTTTCTTCTAATCCATCCTTAAGAAACTTTCAAAATTCGGATTCTATGACCTGAATTTTTCTCTGTGCTCGATCAACTCCTAGCAGGAAGAATATGTGTGTGAGAGAGTGTTAAAGATGAAATAAAAACACAATAGTCCAAAAATAAGGGGTGCAACACGAGGACTTCCCAGGAGGTGGTGTCGGTTTCATCTTCACTGCTAAACCACCACCACCACCCGTATTCTTGCTTTTGAGATGAACCTTTTTCTTCTTTTTCTTCCTCGTTTTATGTCTGATGATGTTTTTCTTCTTCTCATAGATTCTAAAGTCTTTACAATCAGAGAAAAGATTCAATGGCGATAAAAAGGTTATTATCGCCAGGGCATTCCCAGACATCAAAACTAGGGTTGAGCAACGAAACCGAGAAAATCGAAAAACCGACACGAACCAAGTAAAATGGTTCGGTTCGGTTTGGTTTGGCTTTAAACGGTTCGGTTTTCGGTTCGGTTTAAAGGCTTCATTTTTTTGATTCGGTTCGGTTCGGGTTTTTCATATGGAACCCATTTGTTCCATATTGAACCGAATAGGCAATTTTTGTAAAAAAAATTATAGTTTCAAGTGATTTTTTTATTGAAAAACCTATAAACCGAACCGAATCGAAAAATCCGAACCGTTAAAAAAACCGAACCGAACCGAAAAAACCGATTTCGATTTTTTCGGTTTTTTAACTATTCGGTTTCGGTTTAAATATTGAAAACCCGTTTATTTCGGTTCGGTTCAATTTTTAGTAAAAAATCGAACCGAACCGAACCGAATACACCCCTGATCAAAACCAAAGGCTGAACCTAAACCCTAAATACCAAAAGGAGGGTCACAAGCAAAACTTTGTGGGATAGTTTTCTTGGTGTATGCAATGGTGTTTTGGGTCGATTCGTGACGTTTTGGTTTGAAACTGGAAGGGAAAGGTCGAGCCTTTGGCGACAATAGAGGGTTGAACAATGGCCATAAGATTAAAACCTATCAAAGTTAAAAAAAAACTGTTAATGAAAGGCTCTTAGTTATATATATAAAGTCGATTTTTTAATGGAAGATGATAGTGTTGATATGAAACAACACAGTGAAGAAAACTAAAAAAAATGAAAAGGTAGAAGTGCTTAATAAACAAGGAAAAGTGGAAAAGATTTCCAGCTAACGATTTAGAATAGATATAATTTTCATATTTGAGGAGAGCTAGGCAAGTCAAGAAAGATGATTTTTGGGTGGTGAATTAGTAGTTTTTAAGATTTGTGATTAGTAGATATGTGGATAAACTTATTAGATTTATGAGAAAAAAGAGTTGTTTTGCTTAATATATTAGTGTAAGACTTTTGAGGAGGAGGAGGAGGAGGAGGAGGAGGAGGAGGAGGAGGAGGAGGAGGAGGAGGAGGAGGAGGAGGAGGTTTTGAATTTTGTTTTATTTTTTAATTGTCACTTCAGACTTTAGTTAAAAGATTAACGGAAGTTAACGGTAGATGAACTAAAATTGAATGGACTGATAATATTAGGGACTTAAACCAAACGAATCGATAATGTTAAGAAACATTTCCCCTTAATTTTTAAATTGATGACCAAAGTTGATCAGCCTAAAAATAAAAAAGACTATGCTGATAATATTAGGGACTTAAACCAAACGAATCGATAATGTTAAGAAACATTTCCCCTTAATTTTTAAATTGATGACCAAAGTTGATCGGACTAAAAATAAAAAATACTAGCATAGTTTACCCTTTGTTAATAATGCCAAATCCTGCCTCTGTCACTTTCTCTGTGTATTCAAGTCCAGGGAAGCTGATCTTGTCTTCATTCTTTTACCCTTAAAGCAAAGCAAATCTTCTTTAGGACAAACTGTCAAAGTCTGCATCCAGACAACGAAGGTTCCATCTATGCCACAGAACAGAATCTTATTAACCCTTTGTTGGGTAAATCTCAAAAGGTTTGTCGGCTCAGTTGATTTATGGTAACAAATGGTGGAATTATAAAAGTAACAACGCCAATCACAAACAGAATTTGTGAAAACAAAATTTACATTTGCTGAAGCTGCAATGCAAGCTTGCGCTTCTTATTCACAATTGATTCATATCTTCAAATAATTTCAAACACATTGGTATAAAAAAAACAAAAAAATACGGTAATTTAACAGCCTTTGCGTAAGGATGCACTTCTATTCGAACCATCATCCCGAGACATGTATGGCGGGCAGCGTTGGGAAATAACAAGCTTGCCTCTGCCCAGAAAACTGAACCCCGAATCCTGAACTCTCATAGCATTTTAGTGACTTTAGAATTGTTGGTTGCTGGTGTAAGTCTTGCCAAACCCCCAATTTGATGGCAGGACGTCGAGAAACTGTCGAGTAACTCCATCGGTAGTGGTGACTCGGAAAGACAATGATTGACCAATTAGATAGGCATTGGATTGCCAGTTAGCTCCCCAGTTCCTTGACATTACCATCCACCCAGTTTTAGAGCCCTTGATGGACACAGATTGGATTGATCCTGCTCCACCCACATTGCTAATTAAAACAAGTTCAAAGTAGTCTCTCCCATTGATACTGAACCTTACTCCACCGGGCTTATTGCATGGAACCCTGTATAAGATGGAACTCCAAAACATTAGACATGATATAAGACTTTTATGAGTGAAAATGGGGGAGACATATGTTACCTCTGGAACAAAACAGGCACGATTCCGCCACGGTAGATGCCGATCTTTTCCCAGGCAGGCTGAGCCATATCAAAGTGCTGGAGAGGAGGGTTGCACCAGCCTCCCGCATTGTTTGGTAGAGCAAAGTTTGGTGGGCAAAAGTTTGTGGCAGTGATGATCACCGATGCTCCTTTTATGCACCATCTGGGGTCTGTTTGATAATCACACATGATGTGGTAGCATTGTCCACATGAAGCTCCATCATTGAACAAGGCAGTACTTAAAGCAGCCGTCATTGTTCCATAGCCAGTTGCATACAAATTCCCGTATCCACAAGCTCCCCCTGTTGTCAATCAAAAGCATTCATTATATTAAACAAACGATGAAATTCAAACCATAAAATGTTTTCTTTTCCATGAAAATCCAAAAGAAAGAAAAGGGAGTAACCCATAGTTCCCGAGGCATCACTGCCACCATAAAAGGTGGCATGAGCTTTAGTCCATCCAGAAGCCGCGTAGGCATTCACAGTCGTAGCAAAAGAGCAGAATCCGAGAAAGACTGACAATGCAAATATGGTTTTTGCCATCTTTTAGTAAATGGTAGAGCGGTGAAAAAAGAAGAAATGAATACTAGAATGAATGTATCTACGATTTGTATTGATTTCAATTTGCATAGTCTTTAAATAAGGGACCGAACTCTACTATTACACAACGAGCTCATGTGATCCCTGCAAATAGAGATGAAACGAAAACCGATTCATTTCGAGTATTTAAAATTGAATAATCTCAGCTAACAATCAAGAATTCTGAGCCTCATTCAATTATTCCCACGTTCTCTCCCACATGCTCTCTCTCTCTCTGCCAACAGAAGAACGGTGAATGGATCGAAAACCCATAAGCCATAAGCCCAGTTGTCTTATGCAGTTCTTTTATTCGAAGATTAAATGACACCACTTGATTTGTTTTGTGTTCTTGATACGATGTTTCCAATAGGTCACATGGTCCAACATACAAGTTCACATGGGCATTGCTTACATAAACCTGGAAAACAAATCAGTGTTTAATCTTGTTTGTGAGTGTCTGCACATGATACTAAAATTTTCAACCGTAAAAATAACACTGATTGAGCATCTTTCTATTTAATTCTAATTCTAGTATTAACTGCTGCAAGCCCAGGCTGAATCTGGTGAGACTTCATTTATTTAATCATATCAAGCACATACACAACAGCATATAAAAGGGCGGTAAAACCGTGCAAGTACCATTTGGGTACTTCTTGGTATGGTATTTAACCTTATCTGATTGGAAATTGAAAACATAAATATTAGTATATTTTCACATAGCATTGGGTTGAAAAGTACATTCGTATATATAAATATCTTTTGATATATGATCTGTTATATTCTGACTTCAACACAGCTTTGAAGTATAGATATAGAGGGAAAAAGTAATTATTAATAACAAAATCAATGAAGAGAATGTTAAAGGTGTGAAGCAATATTCAAGCTAGAAGACTGCATGACTTTGTCAAGTATCATTAACAACGTTACAACCTTAATCCAATAAGGAAAGGAAGTAAAAACAATCAGTCCAACGAAATAACGCACGGAGACGACAAAATAGTAAAAACAATCACCAAGGTAAAATCCTTAAAAATAGTCATCATCATAATCCTCCTCGGCGTTGAGCTTGGCGCGCGAGTTCATCTGCTTGCCGTAGAATCTCTCTCCTTTCCTCGCTTTCTTCCTGCTCAGGCCAGTATAGTGGATAATGCATGCCCTGAACTGCTTTATTGTGCATGTCAAGGAAGAAAGCAATCCTGGACTGGAAGGCAGTTTTAGGCTCATTTGTAGAATAAATGTCACCAATCTCTCTCGACACCATCCAACCATTTGCATGATCCAATGTAGCATCTACTGCACCATCACGGATGGCTTTTTCTACAATGCTTTTGACATCTACAACTGCATTTTCATAATTCAACCTCAATTTTTCAGCAACGTCAGCAAGTGAAGTGCAGGAATAAGAGATACTGATGTTGCGTAATCCAGTTCTGATGACAATATTTTGCAGGCAGACTATAAGGTTTCAGGTCTTGTCGGTATGAAGGTGCTGGTAAACTTCTCTGCAACACTGAAACAGTTCAAAGTCACCAATCCGTACAGCCTGAAAACTTGAGCCCAGAAATTATACCTTCTCTTTGAAATTAAAACCAAGTTAACAATTTACCAAAGAAAAAAAACCCAAGATGATCAGCACCAAATCCAATATACATGTATAGGTAATCAAGATAAAAAGTCAAAAGAATTTTGTCTTCTCCTTAAACAAGGATTCATCATAAACAAACCACACTTACATTTGTCAGCTCAAAATATGGACTCAAAGCCTTCTCCATTCCTTTCTGCACAAAGATTGACCTCTCAGGTATTTTCCCCAACAGCAGACGGACTAATATCGCCCACTTGTTACACTGAATTCTGAAACCCCGGGCCGTAACAGGGGCTTTACGAGAAGCCTCAAGCAAACTCTCTTTTGCATCAGTATACTCCAGCTTAATTGTTCTAATCTTCCCTAAGTAGAAGAGATCGACAAAACTGTAGAACAGAAGAGAAGATATACCATCGGTCGTACCTTGAATAGACAATTTCCCAATTTTAGGACATTAGATTCACTGAAAATTAGGAGATATCTAATAATATCAAGATATTTGCATGTTCATGACATTTGGAAAAGATTCATACTATGTGACTCGCTCATCCAAATAAAGACTAAAGGTAAACTGTATTAATTTTCCAGCAAGAGAATAATAACAGATGAAAAAGTGAAAAAGAAAGATTATTGCAAAATCTACCCTGAGGCTGACAATATCTTTAAACAAGCAAAAGAACAAGACAACATCTACCTGTTGGTTTGAGTGCACTTCAAATCTTGGTGCCTTAGATCTAAACATGTCAGCCTGATCATATAGGTTATAATGGAGAGAGTTACGCAACAAGTTTCGAAGCATTTCCTGCAATATGCCAGTATATTATACATTAGCTCTAATTTCTCTTACCCAAAACAATTTCTATATTGATTGACGACAAACCTGGCTGAGCTCTTCATGGTTTCGTGTAGCAGTGCGATACAAGGCAAGAAGATTTCTGCAAGAAGTACAAAGAAAAACAAGAGAAATGATTAAACTCTTATCTAGCTTCCGCTACATTTCTGAAGTTCCGCTTTAACATTTTTATTTTTTGAATAGTGCATTTTAACATATATCTTTACATGGAAGCATTGACATAACAGGAACCATAGAGGAGAAAGTCAGCTATTAATATCTTACCCACGAATTCCAGCAAGATCTCCAGTGAGCTCATAGCTATACGAGTAATAGAAATATAGTCCAGATGCTAGGTTATCAATGTTTCTTCTGTTTAGGCTCTTGAGCCAGTTAATACAAGCTAAGGAACAAGCTTTAGCCTGAAAGAGAACAGGGGAAGAGATTCTCTGCGGGTTAACAAAGTGGATTAGGCCATAAAGGAAAAAGAAAATACAAATTCAGGAAACAAGTCTGACCAGATTGTATTTCTTATGGTCAATAAGAAAAAAGAGAACAGGAAAAGAGCAAGAAATCTCAAGCTTTGGAAACACATGTTTTGCTGGAGTCTGATCAGCAGATGTTACACAATCGGCGTCCCAGTCATGCCATTCTTCCAGCAAGCAATTATTTAATTCACATACAGTACTAGGAACACAAACTTCCAAGAATCCAATTGGATATTGAAGAAACTAGAACAGACCTCTATGCAAAGAAATCATAACTCTACATTAATGATATTGTCAATTGAAAGGCCAAACCAACCTAAAGATGCCCCATAGAATCATAGTTCTATGCCACATCCAAGTTTTATACAGCCTAGCTAACTTATTTGAGAAAACGTCAGTTTCTATAATTCTATATAAAAATTTAGGTATTCTGCAATAGCTAAAGAATTCAAGAAAAGTATTTCAATCATCTCAATAAAATAGCCTTGTAATGAGCTCATTATGTTAGCTAAACCACCGAATTAAGCAAACTGAGAGGTTAACAAATCAAGAATGACGTGATCTTGAATTATCAACCCAGAAGGCAAGCAAAAGCTTTAATTTAGCCACAAAGAAGAAAAAAGCCAAAAAGAAGTTGAGGAATTGTGCCGCAAAAACAAATGAGGACAATCTGGAAAAAGCTTCAGAATAAGGCTCTAACGCGTTATGAAGAAATGCAAAGAGCAGAGGAAACGTGAGCTTCCGCCTTAGCCCGTACGTGACGCGATTGACACGGGCTACGCGGTAAACCTCGTCATTGATCAAATCATACTTAATACGACAAACAATCTCCGCCAAATCTACGTTAGGAAACAAAATTAAAGAAATGAAAACGAAGTTAAAGAAAAGGGGGAAAATGAATCCTAAAAATTGGAAAAGAATCAAAGATAGTTACTGCCAAAAGTGGAGTCATCGACATCGTAAACGAAAGTGTTACTGTCTTCCGTGACCGCATCTTGACTCATCTTTACTGAAAGCTCTGTGAATGTTGCGGACCAAATTAGTTAGAAATTCTAGAAATAAGAAAGTTTCGGAGTATTTGCTTATTTCTTTCCTCACCGTCAACATGCAATATATGTGTTTCGAATTCCCGGTTCCAGCTAGCAACCACAAGAAAACTAATAATAACAGAAATAACAGTTATATAACACAGGTTGATATATGCAACTAGGACGATATATGATTTTATATTAGAATATAAACTTTAATTGAGTCATCTAAATTTTAAAATGTGATGTAAGGTACTCCTACCTTTTAATTGATTGTGGATCTAAGAAGGAAGCAAAATAACTTGCATAAGTGAATGGCTCAAATAGATGGTTTGGTAGTAGATGTAAAGGTGAAATGGTAGGTTATTTATGTTATGAGAAATGGTAGCGGAAGTATGTAATTATGGCTATGGTATGGGTGATGAAACAATGGAAGGTTGTGAGGATAGTATCTTAGAAATGACCAAGGAAGAACCAGTGCTATTGAGAGCAAAGACCCATCCTTACAAATCTTTCTAAGGGGTGGTATAAAAGGACTTGGACCCATTATCTATATGGAGATAGGAACCACAAGTATCAAGGGAGGAAGGGTTTGACGCCACAAGTAAATAAATTACTTGATAAGTCGATAAAAGTCACAAGGGCATAAGCAAAGAGAATAATCTCACTTCAATTGATAAGAAAGGTCTGTCTACAAATGAAATAGGACTAGCCTATTTATAGTTTCTGAAAGGACTTGGCCGAATGGGTACATGGTGGTTCGGTCAACCCTTGTGTCTCTCTATAATGACATAATTAATTAATAAATAACATGAAAAAAATTAGGTTCGGTTGGAATGTAGGGGCATGTGTCATGGTCGAATAGCACTTGAAGCCCTTCAAGTTGGTGCCAAATTGGAGGAGGAATGATACTTGGCCGAATGGTTATGTGGTCATTCATCTTGGTTCCTAAATGGAGTCACACGTATAGCACATGGACTGGCTGGTCACAAGGCATGCACATGGCTCTCTAGGATGCTTGTGGTGCAACC